ACATGAAGCTCACTTGTAATGCTAATCCAAGACCATGAAATGCATAAGGAATAGAAAAAGGATTTAAAAAAACACACAAAATTGGAAATCAATGAGTTTAGAGGCTATCAAAGCACAGAAGACTAAGGATAGAGTCAAAATTCAACTTTAAGTGGCTTATTTAAGGGCATAGTTCTCAACGTGTAACCAACCCTCCCTTTGAGTGATTCAAATGTTCGCTAAAGTTTTAAAACCATAAATTTGAGCTGATTTAAACATAAATTCTTGTAATCTGCTACCTCAGGAAAGTTAAATATAGGTATGTTGCCTAAAAATGTTAACATTGTCTGCATTCTGTTAGAATGCAGATGTTCATAGATCAAATGGCTGTTTTAAACATGAAATATATGTAAAATGCTGAGCATATTTGCTAGCATGTAGAAATGCTTAATAAATAAAATCTAGAATTATTATCATCAAACAGAAAAAGAAACAATCTATATTTCAGGCAATTAAGTCATGTTTCTTCAGGTTAAAGAATGGAATTCCTGTTTTGCCTTTGAAAAGTCCTTGCATTCGGTGTTATCCTTATAGTTCCACATCTCTTCACCTTCCCATTCAGGGTTATTTTGCCTTTAGCAAAACCTGGGTGTTAAATTAGTTCATTGCATCATTTACTCTTAAGAAACCCTTAAATCTGTGTTCCCTTGCCAAAGGTGACTTGCCTATGAAGGTCTCATTGCCCCAGGGAAGGTCTTGTGTAGGTGTAGGAAATTTTAGTTGGTCATGTAGGACTTCCAAATAAGTATGGCATGAGGCCAAGAAGAGAAAGCAGTACCCGCAACACTGATCTAAGCAAACATTTGTAGTCAACCTATTAAAAAGATCCACTACCATGTGTACGTCTCATGGATTATGACTGTCTACTATAGAGGTGAGTCTAATTTGAGAGTTACTTTTCCATTATGTTAGGAAGTAATTTCAAATGATTCTTATTTATTAAGTGTTTGGTATTCTCCAACTGAATTTTGAGTTGCAGAGTAACCTTTGTAAAATTTCATCCAAAAGTGATAGAAAATAAAAGTCTCCCTATTGTCCACTTTTATACTGAAGATGTAAATTGTGGGCTGGTCCACCCAGAAACAGTAGGCTAATAGATTTTCTTGAATAGGCAATCAATCCATTCAAATTACTGAGTTCATATTAGTGGATTTTTTCAATGAACAGTGTTGCTGTTTCAAGAAAATAACCTTGTTATATCAACACCTTGTGGACACAGAGGCACTTTCTTTGTTGAGGGAAGAATGGCAGAAGGAAGAGAAAAGGAGATCTTGGAAGGAAACTCCAACAGTTCATGACAATGATCTCTACTAGATCTTATAACTCAGTGCAAATATGGAGAAGGAGACTGTAATCAATTGCTCTACCAGCTTCAGAAAGGGCGTAATTTGGGGATTAATATACAGAATTTCTTAGATATTTTCTAAATAAAGCACATAGATAAAAAAGAATAGATAAGAAAAATTCTGGGTGCAAGATATTTTGTTACGTTAAAAATAATGAAGAAAAGTTTCTTTTTCTTTCTCTGAAGGATGTGTGCATGAACACCTGGAAAACTATTCATAACCTATTCCTAGAGGAGAAATATTTCTCTCACTTCATGAAAATATCTATCTATCTTTAAAAAAATGTTTCACTCAGTTTCAGTCATCTTATTTAATAGCCTAACATTAATTTGGTCCAGCTAAAGAACCTATACTTATAAGCGTCTGTCCTCATTCTCATAATTTGCTGAGTTACTAGGTACATTTAATTAAAGGCTAAATGTTTCACTTAGCAAGTATAATCATTTATATATGCATAATGCCAATAAATTCTTTATTAAAAATGCTTTGTATGATATTTATTGAAAAAGATCAAGTTGCATTAGTTATGTACATGAAATTAAGTAACACATTTAAAGTGACCTTTCTGTTAAACTGTCTTTTACAGTATGTTGAAAAGCCTAATTTACCAAAATATCATACATCAAAATTTTTCACAACAGAGGAGGATATTATGAAGGTATTTATTTACTACACTTTCATTTTAAAGAGTCATGGTTCCAAATTTATTGTTATTTATTTAGACACATGAGATTGTGTGTGTGTGAATGTGTGTGTATCTGGACAAATAGAAATGGAAGCAATAGGATATTGGAGTATATGAGGAAGCCATTTGGTATAAGCCTAATTGGGCCTGACTTTGTTTTTCCTAAAAGGGCCTGACATGGCCATCGAGCATACATTGTGTATCTGCTTTAAACATTTCCTATGACAAGAACAAATGGCCTTAAGATAAAGGTGCAACCTCCCCCTACATTGGCATTTCCTTAAGGATAGGAATCATTCCTTAGGCTAGGAACTGATTGCTGTGCTCAGCTGTGACCACCCAGCTTGAGACAATAGACCTGTCACCCTGCAGTGTTCACCTAGACGGCAGAGCTACCTGCTGTTTCCATCAATTGCTGCTCAACAGAGCAGTCTCGCAACTATTGTAAAAGGGACATTTCAATCATGTGAAACATCCTGTTTGGGGGTATATAACCACTCTGTACACCCCAGTTCTTCGATGCCCTTTCTTTAAAGGCCCTGGGCCATGGTCCTCACATTTTGGCTCAGAATAAACTCACCCAAACTTTCACTTATAGATTGGTTATGGATTATATTTGTCGACAATCTCATCTATCTATTTTGCCTTCACATTTCCAGAGCATTCAGTCAAATATTGAAACTGATATTTTGTCCTATGGCTTTCTGGCTATTGTTTATGTGGGAAAAAATAGCAACTAATGACATAGACTGAAAAATTATATTGAAATTAATATTTTTTTGCAATGTGCAAAATGACTTGGGGAATTATTTCAGAATTAATTCATGCAAATTAATTATTTGAGTAATCTGTTAAGAAGCTTTGTAATTTAAAACATATAAACATAACAAAACAAGGTTAAGTAACTGACTCCTCATCACATATACAGAAAATAAAAGATATGATTCTTAAACCAGGACTTCTGTATCTTGAGCCCAGCGTTCTTTATCCATACATCCCCACATCAATAAGATTAGTCTGAGGGCAGTTTAAAGTTATAATAGAGGTAGAGGGAGCCTGCAGGCAAGGAATTAGGGTCTGTGGCAATAAGAGGAGAAATATCCTAAATAGTTTGTAAAACAAGGAGGTGCATATGCTAGATAAGAGGTAGTGCAAATCCCCAAGGCTTGGCAAAGCCTTGATTAGGTAGACTGCTTATGTGTCTGGTATCAGTGGTTAAACATGCCATCTCTAAGGTGCTGCTGTTACTGTGTGCTGTTGTGTCCAATCAAATGTGAATGCTCACATGGTGAAGGTAGTGATTTAATGAGCCATTAGCACTGACTTTACACAGGTCATTTAAAGAGACTGCCTGTGTGTGAGATGGTTTGCAAGAGATGGGCTGTGTCTGCCACCTGATTTTTATAGCATTATAGTATTCACAAAATGAAACACTTCTTGTTACAAAGCATCATCGCTATCTCTATGTCTGCAGTAATCAATTACCAGACAATTCCAGACAACAGGCTCAGAGATTATTATGTCCCTAAAGCTTTGGATGAAATATGTTCAGACTGTCCATAACAGAAATAAAGCGGTCTGCAAATACATCCATAAATGAAAATTGCAAATTTGTGCATTTTTCTGCTAATAAAAGAGAATAATTGGCTCCATGCACCTATGTGCTCTTTGGCTCTTTATGAATTTACAAGTTTTGTTCTTAGTATGGTGTTTAAAAAATGTCAAACACTAAAATATCTTACTTACATTCAGTGTATAACATCTCTCAACCTGCAAACCCTTCCTAATAAAGCCATGTTCATTTCTGTGGGCTCAGTCATCTCCTAAGGAAATGGATGTATTTTGTTAAATATTAAGCAAGTATCCTCAGAAGATAGGCCAAATATATAATTTAAGCATTTGTAAAATATTTTTTTCTTCTCAGATATATTTATACTTTACCTGTGACAAATAATTATGCTCCATGGTAATAATACTGTTATAAAATTGCTTCCTTTTCTTTTTAATCACCTTACCCATCACTATAGTTATTGTCATTCTCCCCAAGCATTTACTGACATCAAATATCATCTCATGCTTGGCTTTCATATTTCCCTGTTCATTGCAAGTCTCCATGGCAGTACACTGTGTGGTGAAACAATGTCTAGGGCATGGCTCCAAGCCCTAGTAAGCTGGGGAAAGAAATGTGCATTTTATTACAAGTATTATGGAAATAGACTGAAGGCTTCAGAGCAGGGAGTGATGAACTTGGCATTTTAAAAATCAGGTAAGTAAAAATAGTTATTTAATGAGAGGAAGTAAGAAAATTTTCATCAATTTTTGGGGATATTATGTTCCTTCAGTGGAGAAATTTTGTTTTACTTATACTCATCTGTGCCCTTGTTTGGTCCTTGTAACCCACAGTGAAACAATTGGAATTTTTGGTTTATTAAAAAAAGAACTAATTTGAGCATGTTAAAATTTCCAAAACTTGAAAAGATTCATCCATGACTCAAACAAATATAAATGACAAACATTTAAATGAGTGTTTATTTCCTCAACTGATTAATTTTGGCTTCAGTACACATACTTAAACAGCAATAATAATGATTATTAAATAATGTAAAAATAGCCAAAGTAATTATTCATAATTTAATGGTTATTAACAGTTTTTTCTACATTTGATTCATTTTGATTATATCAACCAACGAATATATCATTGTGTGAATTATATTGACTAACCTTATTTAAAACATTAAAAGTTTGAGTTATAGAGAAGTGGAATGATAGGTCAAGAACCACCTTAACTGGCATGTAGGGCTTTGAATCAGGGCCTTGGATTCCATATTCAGCACATGCCCAGAAGTTATGAAGTCAAACTAAGATTGTTAGATGATGAAAGTCCCTTCCTTCTCTATTTTTCCATTGACAGAATCACACCAGAAGAAATCATGGAGAAGAGAAACACAACCTCAAACTTCATTCTTCTAGGACTCTTTGAACATACAAGACCCCACCTCTTTCTTTTTATGGTGGTGCTGACAATGGCCATTGCTTCTTTTATGGGCAATGCCCTCATGCTTCTCCTGATTTACTGGGACCACCGGCTCCACACACCCATGTACCTCCTTCTGAGCCAACTTTCCCTCATGGATGTGATGCTGGTTGCTACCATTGTGCCTAAAATGGCTGTTGACTACTTGACTGGAAAGAAGTCCATCTCCCCTGCTGGCTGTGGGTTGCAGATTTTCTTCTTTCTTACTGTGGGAGGGGGTGAGTGCTTCCTCTTAGCAGCCATGTCCTGTGACCGCTATGTGGCTGTTTGTTATCCACTGAGATATCCTGTCCTCATGAGCCAAAAATTGTGCCTGAAAATGACCTTGGGGTCTTGGTTCTTGGGGTCGGCTGATGGGCTCATGCAGGCTGCTGCTACCCTGAGCTTCCAATTTTGCAGTGCACCTGAGATCGATCATTTCTTCTGTGAGGCCCCCATGCTGGTGCGTTTGGCTTGTGATGACACATCTGTCTTCGAAAATGTAATGTATATCTGCTGTGTGTTAATGCTTCTGGTCCCATTTTCCCTCATCCTCACCTCCTACAGTTTTATCCTCCTTGCTGTTCTCCAGATGCGTTCTAGAGAAGCCCGCAAGAAGGCTTTTGCCACCTGCTCCTCACATTTGGCTGTGGTGGGAATCTTCTATGGAGCTGCCATTTTCACCTACATGAGACCCAAATCTTACAGGTCAGCTAACCCTGATAAGGTTGTGTCAGCATTCTACACTATCTTCACCCCTGTGCTGAACCCCCTCATCTATAGTCTGCGGAACAGTGAAGTCAAGGGAGCCTTGAAAAGGTGGCTGGGGAAATGTACAAATTTAAAATGCCAACAAACTTAGTGTCACTCTTTTTTTTTGCGTGAGAATATTTTTTTTAAGATTTCATTTTTCTGCCCGAAGCCCCCCAGTACATAGCTGTGTATTTTTAGTTGTGGGTCCTTCTAGTTGTGGCATGTGGGATACCTCCTCAGCATGGCCTCATGAGTGGTGCCATGTTCACGCCCAGGATTCAAACTGGTGAAACCCTGGGCTGCCGAAGCAGAGCATGTGAACTTAACCACTCGGCCATGGGGCCAGCTGCTTAGTGTCACTCTTGAAGATTATACAATGCTAAATGAGTCTAATTTCCTGAAGTCATTAACATTTAAACATATTGTAATTCTCTCTCCTTTAGTAAGGCATGAAGGGAATGTTAAATTCATTGATCAGTATAATAGGAAGTTGTTAAGAATTATATGAGACTACAATACTAAGAGATACTATTTCTCGGTTACTTACTATTTGCTATCGTTCACAGTAAGCAATTTTTATATGTTATTTTGCATCCTGTTAACAAATGTATGATTTAAGTACTTTGACATCCATCTTCTAAATGAGAAAATGAAGGCATGGAAAATTAAATATTGTTCTCAGTATCACACAGCAAATAGACGTGAAAAAGTGACTCCCAAGATTATCATTTAAGCTGGTATATTTATTTCTGTCCAGTAATTTATTTTTATTTTCTAAGTGTTTTATGGTCTCAGGTCTTACACTCAACTCTTTATTCCATTTTGAGTTACTTTTTGTGTATGGTGTGAGATAATTGTATATTTTCACTCTTTTGCATATGCCTGTCCAGTTTTCCTAACTTCATTTATTAAAGAGATTTTCCTTTCTCCATTGTATATGTTTGGATCCATTGTCCAAAATTAGTTGTCCACAGATACGTGGTTTCGTTTTTGTGCTCTCAATTCTGTTCCCCTGATCAGTGTGTCTGTTTTTCTGCCAGTATCATGCTATTTTGATGACTATAGCATTGTAGAATATTTTGAATTCATGGAGTGTGAGACCTCCAACATTGTTTTTATAAGAAATTTTGAGAGGAGCCCTACTATCTGAAACAAAAAGTCAAAGGGTTACAAAAATTTTGAACAAGGAGATAAACAGAATCAGAAAATCGCAGCTCTATATCAGAATATGTTAGTAAACATTTATAACATAAATGGACTGAAGCCATCAAACATAACTATAACCACTTCAATTTGATCACAAACTCACAAAACAGAAAAGAATAACTTGTGACAACAAAACCATAGAAGTGGAAGAGAAAAGGATGGAACCTTCATAGGCTAATGGAGACAAGAGGCAATCACAAAAAGGACTATCTCATCTATGGAATCTTTTATACAAACCTCATGGTAATCAAAAGAAATAGGAGCTGAGTCACAAATTATAAATAAAGAGAAAACTGAGAAAAGCATTACAGAAGATCACCAAATTGAAATGGCAGACAAAAATACCAAGGAAAAGAAACAATGGAAATATAGAATAACCAAAAATAAAAGGATAAAATGGTAGATTAATTCCTCATATATCAATAACCTGTCTAAATGTAAATAGACTGAATTCACCAATCAAAAGACACAAAGTGGTTATATGGATTAAACAACAAGGCCCAACAATATGCTGCCTCCGTGAAGTACATCGCAGCTCTAGAGACAAACACAGGCTTAGAGTGAAGGGATGGAAGATGATACTGTAAGCACATGCCAAACAAAAGAAACCAGGGTCTGCCATACTTCTATTACACAAAGCAGACATCAAGATGAAAAAAGAAAAGGAGAGACAAAGCATGGCAGGACAGAAGGATAAAAGGGATTTTCCATCAAGGCGACATAACACTAAGGCATATATATGCATCTAATGCAGGAGCACCAATATATATAAAGTGACTCTTAACAGACCTTAATGGAGAAAGTAACAGCAACACAATCATAGTAGGAGAACTTAAAACCCCACTTATGTCAATGGAAAGATCATCCAGACAGAAAGTCAACAAGGAGACAGTAACCTTAAATAAAACACTAGATCAGATGGACTTAATAGATATAGAGAGAACATTCCATCCCAAAACAGCAGAATACACATTCTTCCGAAGTGCACATGAAAGATTCTCAAAGATGACCATTTGTTGGGAAACAAAATAGGAATCAATAAGTTAAAGAAGATTGAAACCATATCAAGTATCTTTTCTGACCATAAGGGTATGAAACTTGAAATCAACTACAAGAAAAAAGCTGGAAAATCACAAATAGGTGAAGACTAAAAACATACTATTGAACAACTATTAGGTAAATGAAGAAATCAAAGGAGAGAGAAAAAAATACCTGGAGACAAATGAAAATGAAAACATAAAATACCAAAATTTATAGGATGCAACAAAAGAGGTAGTAAAAGGGAAGTTAGTAGCAATAGACGCCTACCTTAAGAAATAAGCAAAATCTCATGTAAACAGTCTCAAACTATCTAAAAGAACTATGAAAAGAACAAAGCCCAAAGAGAGTAAAGGAAAGAAATAATTAAAGAAATCAGAGAAGAAATAAACAAAATAGAGACTAAAAAATACAATAGAAAGGATCAATGAATCCCAGAGCTAGTTTTCTGAAAGGATAGTAAAATTTGACAAACCCTTCCCCAGACTCACTAAGAAAAAATAAAGAATAGTCACATAAATAAAATCAGAAGTGAAAGAGGAAAAATTACAACAGACAGCAAAGAAATACATAGGAGTATAAGAGAATACTAGAAAAAGCTATATGACAAAACTCCAAAAGAACTGGATAAATTCTTAAAATCATACAACCTTTCAGAACTGAATCAAGGAGAAATGGAGAATCTGAATAGACCAATTACAAATAAAGAGTTTGAAATAGTAATAAAAAACCTCCCCGAAATAAAAGTCCAGGACCAGTTGGCTTCTCTGGTGAATTCTACCAGACATTAAAAGAAGATTTAATCATTACCCTTCTCAAATTCTTATGAAAAATTGAAGAAGACAAGATGCTTCGTAACTAATTTTCTAAATGTTTTATAGTTTTATGTTTTGCATTTAGAAGTATGACACATTTTGAGTTAATTTTTGTGAAAGGTTTAAAGTCTGTGTTTATATTCTATATTTTTGGATAAATATCTAGTTGTGGAATAGCAGGATCATATAGTAGTTTTATTCTTAAGTTTTGGGGGATTCTTCATACTGTTTTCCATAATGGCAGGTTTCCATAATGGTGAATTTGCATTTCCACCAGCAGCGTATGAGGGTTCCTCTTCTCCACATCCTCACCAACACTTATTTTTTCTTGTCTTGTTAATTATAGCCATTCTTATGGGCATGAGATGATATCTCATAGTTTTCATTTGCATTTCCCTGGTAATTAGTGATGTTGCACATCTTTTCATGTTCCTGTTGGCCACCTGTAAATCTTCTTTGTCCAAAGAACATGAAAACATGAATGCATAATGATGTATGCACCCCTATGTTCATTACAGCGTTATTCACAAAGTGAAGTCTTGGAAACCACCTAACGGCCCAACAAAGGATGAGTGGATAAGGAAGATGTGGTATATATAGAATGTAATACTACTCAGCTATAAAAAAGATGTAATCTTGCCATTTGTGACAATATGAATGGACCTTGAAGGTATTACACTAAGTGAAATGTCAGACAGAGAAAGTCAAATACTGTATGATCTCACTCATAAATAGAAGACAAAAGCAGCAACATACAAACACATAGAGAGAGAGATTGAATTGGTGGTTACTGGAGGGGAAGGGAGAAGGGAGCAGGGGGAAAATGGTGACTAAGCACATGTGTCTGGTGATTGATGGTAATTAATCTTTGGGTAGTGAACATGATGCAGTCTACACAGAAATCAAAATATAATGATGTACACCTGAAATTTATATAATATTATAAACCAATGTTACCTCAATAAAAAAATAATTGTATTTTTTTGTTTTATTAGTAGCAGCATTATCAGTGTTTTCATCTTTTAGGGAACGTACAAACTATATAAAACTGTATATAAACTAATAAACTATATGAGTCTTAAAATATAAAACTATGGAGACAAAAATGATCAGTGGTTTGTTAAGGAGCTATGCAAATGGATAGAGGGATGAAAAGGTTAAACACAGGGGATTCGTGGGTTATCAAACTATGAGAGTATTAGATGAGATTTTTTAATCAAGCTTTTAGCTCATTGCATGGCACTTAATGTATATCAAGATTTAAGGTATATGGTGAGAGTCGTGATGATGAATATGATAATGATGATGAGGAGGAAAAAATGGATATCCCTAAACGGATGTTATGTGTCAACTTACAAAGAATTTCCTCAAACTCAGAAGAATAAATAAATATTTCCCTTAGGACTGCAGACTCAGGACAACCATGTAGAAACTTTCCAAAGAATGATGTCATTTGAGCCAGTGTTTGAAGGAAAATTAAACCTGACTAGACAGAGCAGAAGATGAAAAGTTTTCTTAGAGAAGAAATGGTATTTGTACAGCAATGGATATATTGTGTAAAACTGGCAAATTTGGGAAGCTGACTAATAAACACATCTATAGCACTGGATACATGGCAAATAAAACAGAGGAATCCACAAGCCAGCAGTCCTTTCAATATCATCTATGAAATTATTGCTTAATTTAGATCCTAAAAGCTTAAAGAAGGACTATTGTATTTGCTTTACATATGCATATTGATAAGTCATTGGAAAGATTTCTAGATTGTATATTCAGTATGCTGTGACTTCGAGAAAATGTACGATTTAAGATGTGATTTTGTATTAAGAAATTTAGGACTAATAGTGGTTGAAGATAAATTATTCTAGAACTATTTAGCTATTTGAGTACTTCAGGAAATTTGTATTGCTTATTTGAACACAGAAAAATATAGAAAAAATGTATTTTGACTGCCTTCTTTTCAAAAAATTTAGAATGAGAATGAATAAGCTAAAGTTTTATGTTACTACTGTTGCTATTAATATTAACTTTTAATATAATCACTGGAGAT